GATATGAGGCCAAAAGAGCCTTTTTGTGGGTTTGTTCGGAAAACCTCACAAAAACTTGAGGCTTTTGTTGCCACCCGTGTTGCATAAGCTGAATAATTGACTCTCAAAAAAAGTTTTGGGGCTCTATGTTTATTTTTACATTTAAATGCACTTTAGCTGCATGTGTTTTTCAGCATCCACCTAAATGATTAGCAAGGGCTGTAGCCCGCGTGTTCAATCTTTCCACTGTCGTTTAGGCACAGCTGCCTTGGAGGTCAAGCAAGGTTCTTATAAGGTTGCCAGCATTCCTCAACCCCTGTAGCAATACCCAGTTTGTAACTTGACACTCTCTAAAAAAAGAGGCATTTAATTGTGGGTCTCATTATAGTTTTGCTCTCTCTATCATTGTCGTTTTTATTGATCCGATCTGTTTTTTTGGGCTTTTTTTCAGCTGTGTGTGAAGGTGCATGCATGGAGTTGTGTAACAGCGGATGGAGATGCATGTGCGCATGTCTGACTTGTAATTAGCCCCATGCTTTGGTCTGTATTGTATTTTAACAAAGGCTTCTATATTTATATATACCCCCCCTGCTATCAGGCCAATGTTTTAGCAGAGCAGTGCCTTGCCAGCTACTCTCACTCTATTCTCCTACTTCCCTTTTTATATATTTGGATTTGAGCCGTTTGTTTTTTTTTTGTTTTGTTTTTTACGTTTTGTGGTTATTTTGTTCTTAGATTCTTACAACAATTTCGCAATAACATTTCCCTGGCACTAGGATCTTGCCTTCCAGACTAAAATCATAAACTCGTTAAAATTTTACTTCTCTAATTATCTAAGACACAGCTTGGCATTGGCAAACACCTTAGCACTCAGATGTGCGTCTGCATGTTTTCTCCTTATAAACATATGGAAATAAAAAGACTTTGTTCACTTTACTAGGTTGGTCCTGATTTCACTATGTTAATATAATCTTTGGCTGCGTTTTTCAGTTTGTTTCTATTGAGTCCTGATACCTAATTATTGTAGCATATTATTAAGGGTTTTTACTAAAATATATGTGGAAACAAAGGGAAAAATGTGAAAAGTTGGCATTCTTCAGCAAATGAACATTATCTGAAAGACAAGTTTTCAAAATTGTTTAGTAGCCTTTTTACCCAAATGGTTCATAGGCTTAAATATGAGAGAATAAATAATAAAAAATGCAATTAAACCATGTTAACATGGCCCACTAGATAACTGGGGCTCTTACCTCTGTACCTCAAAGGAGCCAGACTTACATGAGGTCTTGTTCATGAGTATTAGTGGGATGGAGTTTGAGTTTCAAGGCAATCATAGTCTGTTCTGATGTGGGCAAGAAAAAGTGGAGCCTAATGGCAAAGCTTTTAATGTACTTGTAGGACTATTTTCAGTTTGAACCTCTATAATCATGAGCTACAGTTTGAGATCTTAGAATTTAAGTGAATTGTATAAGAGGGATACCATTGAGGTAAGTCAGGCATCTGATTGGGAGTTCCACTGGTTGCCTCCCTTTGGTTGTTTTCCAGGGCTTTCCAACTGAAACCAATCCCCTCCCCACCTTGGAGGGGGGGAGGGGATTGGTTTCAGGAGCATCCTTGGAACTCCAAAGAAACCCTGGTGGGGGTACCTGGAGAAGATGTTTATGCCTATACCCTAGACCAGTGGCCTCCAACCAAAGGCATAAGATCAACTGCCATTCAAACCTTTAGGTGCATTCCTGCAACAACACAGCTGAATAAAATTATTAATTGTCTCCTCATCAAGTTAAATGAGTCTATCATTTGATTTGCACCTAAAAGTTACAGGTTATAGTTCTCGAGGCCTGGAGATGCAGACCATTGCCTTTTATCATCCCGCCGCAGACAAACGACACGAAACGTGCGCCATAAATACAGACTTCATCATTTCATCATGCTTCACCTTCACTAGACATTCTGCTGTAGAAGGAATCTTATCGGGCTACCTTGAGTTTCACAGCCCCTCTCCTCATCCACGCTCTCTCCATTAATCTCCTTGTCGCAATCTTTACTCACTGTTACAGCAACGTCCACCTTACAGCAACAATTTTTTTTTTGTTCTTCCAGCAGCTCTTCTTTGCTTTTTCTTTTCTGGAATCCGCTTAAGTACCTCTATTGGTATCCATCGTCACTAACACATTGTACGTAACGGTTCTGGTTTTAATTAACGCTCTGGATTATCCATAATTCCAAGTTGCAGTGTAAAAAATAAAATATTCAAATACACTGTTCTTTTAAGATCTTTATTACGGTTTGAAACATATTATATGAGCGTATTTTTTTTTACCAACTGTCTAATTAACTATACACAGTTATTAACATAGCAATTAAAAGTACCAATGTCTGCTTCGCTATTGGTGTCGCGTTTAAACGGATCACCATCATGTTGGAATCTGGCATGTGTTGCCGTATAAATACGGTCCGGTCAGTCATCTTCATATCAGGTGGGTTTAAGAGGAATAATTGACACCATTACATCTGGAAAGAGACGTCCTAGGCCACAATTGTGAAGGGGGCCTACCAAGTGTCAAAGACTGGGCCCCTAAGAGGTCTTAGCAACTGCAGTCTCTGCTTACCGATAGTTACACCATTGGTTGGTTTGAAACAAAAGACCGATCTACTGAAAATGATCAAATCCTCTGTAAAGATGCAAATAAAAGTTTATTGTGTTCAAAGTTTTGAGGCCAAAGCTAATCAAAGCGCTTCCCCATATACAGCCCTCAACTTTTTCTTTCCAGCTTTCTTCCCATGAGCATCAAACTTAGCAACTTCCAGACTGGGGAGTTCAAGGGTTAATAAACTAACAGATTATCTGGTCACCAGCTAATTTATTGCTGACTGAGCAGAAAAGTTGAAAGGTTGACAAAACTTTTAGAGATCTCAGGAAGCCTTGTAGGCTTATCGATTAATAACATTTTTAAAGGAGACTAAAAAGGCAAATGTTTTTAGTCGTAGTTCAGCACTGTTAATTATTTTTTTATTTCTATCAGTGATTGTTTGAAGTCCTTGTTAAGTAACAGTGAAAACAATGTGTTTTTCTGCTCACTGAAAGGTGTAGAGCATCATTAAACGAGCATCACCCACACACATGCGCCATGTGCATGCAGGTTGTTGGTTTCAGCGGTGACAGACAGGGCATGTCCTGAGGGTGTGAGGGGTGTGTTTGTGGGCAGACTGACTGTATAAGACAGGGCTAGGTGCTCTGAGATTTTCATTCAGTCGGACTGAAGAGCCAGAAACTCAGTTTTGACTCATTTTTGTAACTAGTTTAGGATAAAATAAGAGTAGTTTTGCTTTGTGAGGTTTTATTATTAGCATTTCAGAACCTTTTTAAATAAACGGCAGAAGCTTAAGCATATTTAAAGTTAGTCTTGATTAATTTGTAGTGAGTCAAGCATCCTTACTGGGTTGCCTCAGCAACCGTGTGGGTCAGCTGCAAGTCTGGGGTAAGTCTGCTTCTCACCTTTAAATTGCTGATCTCCTTCATCTGCATTATCTTCTTGATTTGCTGTGTCTAAATTCTACTTTTGTGTGTCTAATTTCAGATCCACCAATCTCTCATTTATAGTTTGTTTTTGTTGATTTTTTTAGGAGAAAACTGCAGATAGATAAGCACTCTTAATATTTTGCTAATGTTTATGTGCAGAACTTTAGAGGAAACCTTTATTGTTGCTAAAAGGACAAAATCTAATAAATGGAGAAATCTCTTTGAGTGTCTTTTGAAGAAACATCTCAAACCGCAAACTACCTACCTTGCTGTTTGGTGGCAGCTTCAAGTCCACCGTGATAATACTAGGGTTGTTGCGCTTATTCACAGCCCTGTAATTGTGGTTATGAATGAGAGTGCTGTGCAGGGGAAATTCTTGCTGCAATCCTTAATGTTTTATCTCAACATTTTTCCTAATAAATTATAATTATTTCAGCACTAATAATGGAACTACTACTACTAAGCAAATAATTACTCTAATGTTCTGGTATCACCTTTAACATGAGGAATACATCATATATTTTTTTCATTCGTATGCATTACCAGTGTTAAATAAAAATAATTTCTTTGATATATGGATAATGTAGATAAATAAGTTTGGAGAATATAGTCTGAAAATCATCAAGATTTTTCCAGTGGTATTTAATATATCACATTTAATAAAAGTTGGACATGTTTGATTAGATGTTAAAGATTTTTATCTCAAGGTAATAAAGTGTGGCGTTTTTATTCGGTTTATGAAACTATGTGTCTCACTGAGTGGTTTTATCACCATGGAGTTCCAGTATCAGCTTGTCTGCATATTAATGATACATTTTGACATGTGTTAAACTACATTATATGATTATAAATCTCTAAAAACAGAGCTACTGCTGCACATTTTACAGCTTTAACCATCAATGATTTGCACGTTTGATGTTTTTCTGTCAATCTGTCAATCTCTGAATCTTAAATGTCCACACCTGCAGCTTAACATCCGAAATCACTGTTTTCGGGGTTGGTTGAAGTCACATGTTGAGAAAGTCAGCATGTCTCTTTCAAATAAATGTGCTGCAGGATGAATCATTGCATGAAGTGTGTGTGAGTATCTTTAAAGCCCAAATATAGCAACAGAAAATCCTCTTCATTCACGGGCGGACACAAAAAGGTCCTGATTCATAGTAAATGTTATTAACAGGCTTAGTAGGTGCTTCATACCTCTCTCCTGCAAGAGTCACTCCACTTTTGATTATTTTAATAAATGACTCAGCTGTTTTTTTTTTCTTTGATTGTGAACTTCCATAAGCGTTTAGCTGTTGTCTGTGTGTTTGCACTGCAGCACACTTATGTTTATTGTGTTTCGTCTCCCATAGATCATATGCACATAGAGGAACACTTTGAAGATGATGAGGAACCACCTTTGCTGCTCAACTCTCGTCCTCCTCATGGTAGATTACATCACATGCATGTGCTTTAAAGTTTGCAAATGTGTTTGCTCATCCGCTGACTCTGATTGTTGCATCTTTTAGATGTTTGGCTGTGGTGGAACTGCAGTGGTGCAATGTCAGTGGGGAGAGGGGTGTGTGTGTTTGCAATGCCCTCCAGGCCAGGAGCCATCCAAGGTGGGTACTTTGCTGCATTTACAGCTTGAATACTAGACGTCAGTTTTTTCATATTTAGAGGCTAACATTTTTGGCCATTTTAAAACAATAAGAATACTTTGATCTAAAGCATCCCATCATAGCTCCGGTTGTTTGTTTGGTGAGGTTTAACCGACAGAATGTAGATCTTGGCTCTGCCAAATATACCATGTTTTTTCCTGGATTGCCCTTTATTTTGCATCATACAGTTTTCCATAAATATTGGACATGCTCATATTAAAGAAAAACCTCCTCACAGCATTATACTGTCACCACAATGCTTTATCATACAGAGGGTGATAGGATGTTATTTTTCTTCCACTCATGGTGTTTTGCACACTCTAAAAGGAAAATGCAGCTCCAACTTAAATGAATTGCTTCAGTTGTGAACAGGTAATTAAACATATTATTCAACTTAATATATTAGGCTTATAATTTGAACACTTAAATAAATCAAAAATGGGCAAACATGATTTAGTTACTTGATACCAATTCAATCAATTCATTAAGGCTGGAGAAGCATCTTTATTTTAGAGTGCATTTTCGAGTTTGGTCCAGCTAAAGTCTTCATATTCCTCGCTTGGCTTTTCAGAGACTAGAAACAGGGGTTATTGATGTATTCTTTCAGCAATTCTTGTTGGAGCTCCTCAAAATTAGATACATTAGCGTTGGGTTTATAATATTTGACAAAATAAGAAAAATTGCAAAGGTTCTCCATACCTTTTCCAAGATTCAGTATGGTTAAATTATATCAAGTATTTTTGCAATCAAACATCTGTTTATTGCTTCTAATTATTGTCAAAAAACTTTTATATAGTCTGCTTAGTAAAAATATAAGACAATAACATTCTAAGCCATTCTTACAAAACAAAGGGGATTTATTGTATCTTTTTTTAGTCCTCCACTCAGAGTTTTAAAGTGTTTTATTTTTCTGCAGCCTTGTGGGCAGATCCAGAGTCCAGCTGAAGAAGTGAAATGTCAGTCGTGCCAACCTGGAAGCTTTTCAGATGCAGTCGACTCTGAGCTTTGCCGTACACACACATCCTGTGAGATCCTGGGCAGAACTGTGGAGACCTCTGGCACTCAGACCTCAGATACTGTCTGTGGAGACTGTCTTCCTGGGTGAGAACTGCTCCCTCACTTTTTTTTGCTTCAATAGCAGCTTAAACCTACTTGACTTACATTTTTCCTCTTTCTCATTCAGATTTCTCTCTCCAGATGAGGGAAGTCCCTGCTTGAAAAGTGAGATCCTGCACCTTGTCATTTCCTCCAAATGTTTCTATCCATCTGTTCCTTTAATTCGTCTTTCCATCCTTCTCTACATCCTCTTGCAGAGTTGCTTGTCAGAAAGGTTCGCACAGTAGAAAAAGGTCCCTCCAGTGGGGCAGGAGGACCTACCAACAGCACGGTGGTTCGGAGTACGGAGGAAAAGACGGCAGAGTATGCAGTGTTTGCCCTGGTGCCCGTCTTCTGCGTTATGGGTCTGCTGGGCATCCTGATCTGCAACATCCTCAAGAAGAAGGGATATAACTGCACTGCTGAGAAGGAAGGAAGAGATGAGGAGATTGCCACCCCTCAGAAAGAAGGTGAGAGGCAGATATGTAAAATATTTATGTCATAGAACGATAAAATCATGGATTCAGTGCTGTAGGGAGATCTAAAGAGGTCAGATCAGATGTAGTGGAGGCTTGTTCTTATCCCAGTTCAAGAGTCAACGGTGCAGAAAAGCAAAGATAAACAATGCAAACACAAGGTAGGTATAAATCAATACAAAACGCATTAAAAGTTCAGCATATGATTGAAAAAGGATAAACAGCAAATATTGATTCATCACACCCACTCTCTGCCCTTTGTCCTGTCTCCTTTCCAAAGAACTTCCTCTTCAATGATTTATATCTGAATGTCATTCTCAGCCTTTGATCCAAATACATGTAGATGAGCTTATAGAGTGATTGATGTGAGGCACTCATTCACATTGCAATCACAGTTTCCAGGTTACTTACATTACTTTTTATATAATGTAGCAAATAACACCCAATTTTCCCCTGGTCCCTGACGACACAAGGATTTTTTTTTCTCACAAAATGCCTTATCTTATCTAGGAAACAATAAAAAGGTTTGGACGCTGACTCATGTTTCAGAGTTTAGATGAGTTCAGCAGCTCTTTTAATAACATAAACCACACAGTAAAGTTTAGATGCAATAATCAACCGCTAAAGGCTGTTCATTAGGGTCTTTATGTTGCCCAGGAGGAAAGAGGACATTTGAAAGACATGATTTAAAGCTGGATAAGCTGGCTTCTTCTGCTCTCACCTGATGGTGCCAGGCAGTGCCAAATGAGTATTAGCAGGAGTGCTGTGTAGTAGGAGCGTCAGCTGGGAGCTGGACAGATCCTGTTAAAGGCTGTTTACGTCTGCACAACATCTGCTGCTTTTTAGGTACTTTACATCTTTCATTTAAACAAACTCTGAGTGAAACAGACATTTGTTTTGCACACATGGTCTTCCATGTAACTAATAGCACATGATCAAGCTTACTTGCAGTGGAAATATACCTTATTTTAAGCAAATAACTTGATTGAAGAACTTTATGCATCTTATTTTAGAGTATTTTCATTTTGAATTTAGTGGTTAGGATTAATCCCATTTTTTAAATACTTGGCCAAGCATCAAACTTTTGGCCTAAGATGGTCAGAGAATAATTAAGTATAAAAGATAAATAAGAGCAAGCAACAGTATCAGAAGTCAAAGTAGTTTATGTAGGAAAAGGTCACATTTTATTGAAACAGATAAATACTGCACTGTTAAATATGAAGGAAACAGTTTTTTAGGCAATATGGAAGTAGCTGGAAAATATCAGGAAAAAGTTCCAAGACGATTATAATGAAAAAGTTCTAACAAAATGAAAGAGCATACTTTATAATGTAGTAATGAAGGCGTGTCCACTTTAAACAGGCATCTTGTTTTTTTTATTTCTTTCATGTCTTTTTGTGTAGACAGATTAAGCCACCAACAGTCGGCTTGGACAGACAACTCACCATACTAACTAAATGACAGCTAAATGTAGTTAAAGTAGTTTTATGAGCATGGAGGGTGTCATGTAGGTGTTATTCAGGTATCAACAATGTCTCTTTTTTTGTTTTTACATTTCCTCACAGTTGGAATTTTCCTGTTAAAGGAAACCCCAGACTCCTGCTATGTCTGTAATACCCTCATTCTCTCTCCCCTCCATTGATCCACCTTCCTGACTCTCATGAGGTTCAGCTCCCCTCTCAGTGAGCCATGAACCCGACGCCGTCCAGCCATCTCTCCTTTCTCAGGCAGATCAATAATTCAAACGGCTCCTTTACCAAATTGTTAATGTCTTCTGTTTCACTCTCTTTGCCAAGAACTCTTTTAATTGCCTCTGCTCTCAATCCCAAGACTCATTCTATTGACTTTAGAGCAACAGAAAGGCTGCTAACTTGGATAAATGGAAAACTGATTCAAGATGTGATTTTAAAAACCCCATATTGGATTTTCTGCTTTTAATTTCTTACTGCACCACTATATAAGCCCATTAGGCAGCTCTGCATAAATACATTTAATTATATAACTTCCGTAAGTGAGATAAAGGACAAAAGGGAGGTGGTTACATAAGGTGCTGGGTAAGGATAATGGAAAACTGGAAAAGGTGAGAAAGGGATCTGTCCCTCCTTGTTTCTTAAAGAACGCTTTAAGATGAATTAGGCCTACTGCAAGCCAGCTGCTTTGGCAGCTCTGACAACCTCAGCCTAAAGGGAGGCTATAGGCTCAGGTGTAGTGAAATTATTGAAAGTCATTTGGCAGTTCTCCATCTGCTGATGGAGTCATGGCGTTGATAGCAGCATACAATTACAAAGTCACTTTCATAGAGTGAAAAGTGACTCTGTTGTAGTCCCATAGCAACAGCGACTGCAGAAACAGAGCTATTGTTATACTGTAATAACAGCTTAATGCTCCTGATATAGAAGCAGTAATAAAACTCTACACACACGAGCACTCAGAGACCTTTTCCAATCAACACAGACACAGTTCATAGTAGGCTCAGCGTCGCCTGGCATTTCCCACCACACACACCAACACACTGAGCTCTGTGTGCTCCAGCAGTGCTGAATGGAGGATAACTGCTGAGTGAGTCTATTCTGTCCCCCACAGGCCCTCACTGCCTTCCCTCAGCTGCCTCACTGTCCTCCTATATTAAGGGATGGTGGTAGTGGGTTGCCATGGAGATATTTCTATTATTTGTACTTATCTCATGCTCTCCCATTCTTCATCAGACATACTGTTTGCACTGAAATTTACAATAAAGCAAAGTAATGTCTCATTATTTTTGAATGGGTGCATTTTGGCTTTCTTAAAAAAGAAAGTCTAAATATACTTTATGTTTACCCTGATTTATGGAAGAATATTTTACAGAATTCAAAAAGTTATTATTTAGATTTTAAATACCTTAAAGGGGTTTGCAGGTGATTTTTATCATGCTGGTTTTAATGGTTGGAGTCATCAGTGTTTAAGTTGGGTGGGCTGCTAGATCTGCAGCGCCCTCTAGTGGTGGCTTAATCTAATGGCAACCTTACCCAACAATTTTTACACAAGCAAAAAAAAGCTAAAATAGTTCTTTTTCTGTGTACATTAACTGTAGCACTGTTACAGTGAAATAAATGAGTGAGAAAAGCAACCATGGAAAGTCAGTCTCCACTTGTTCTCTGTTGCAGCAGAGCTAAATGCCCCAGGAAGTTAAACGAGAAACACTCTTAAAATGCAAATGTGTATGCCTACCGCATTGGTAGTTATTGAGTTTAACAGGTGGATATTTGGCATTGATAATGCTTTTAGTTGAATATCAGCTAAAAACGGCCATCGTATAAAGGACCCCCTTCCATTAGAAACTTGTCTTTGTTCTGCAAACAGTTATTTGGCAGTAAAGTAGGAAACACTTGCTTTTGTTTCCTACTTAGTGGTAAAATGTTGCAGTCTTTAGGAAATCTTAAGAAAGATTCTAGCTGAAAGTGTTGCAGTGATATGTCTTTCTTCCATTTCGTGGTTTGTGAAATGATTTCAAATTACTTTAACACACCAGGTTTACGTCTTATTTAGTAACACTTAAAAAATTTTAAATCCTTATAGCTTTAGAGTTTCCAAACTGTTTGTATTAGAAGAAGATTGTTGGAGAGTTATAAAAAAATAATAGTAAAGACAATTTATCCTTTTCATTATTGCCTTGCTAATATAATTTCCCTGCTCCTTTAGGTAAAGACTGGCCGTACATATCTGATGACCTGAATGAAGACACAATCAGTGTTTTGGTTCGCCTCATTACAGAGAAGAAAGGTAATATGATCTAATATTAGCTGTTACCATCTCTTTAGGCCCATTTGGGGAAATTCACCATAAAAATGTCACACATAGGAAATATGTTTGTTTTGGTGAACCCAGAAGCTCCTTTTTTACATGTTTATTTTGTTAATATGAAAATAAAATACTGAAATATAAAATGTAATTTGTTCCCAGAGAGATTATTTTTCTTTGTTCTTTTTTTGTCACATTTAGATGTTTTAATATAACTAATGTTAATACCAAACAGAAATAACGCAAGAAATTTGAAGGTTCACTTTTCAGATTATTTCCACCTTTGTGAAAAAAGAATGTATTGTGTAAAAATACATTATTATGAATAAATGTTGTCCCACTTTTTTTTTTTGGTTTGCTGTAACTTAGCAACAGAGGAAGAGTTTTGAGCATAAGTGGCCTGTTAAAGGCCTCGCAACGGCATCTAAATTGGATTAAAAGTCAAAACTTTGACTTCATTAGGTTGTTTTTTTTAACCATTCAGAGTTGGACTTACTGGTTTTTGCTTCAGGTCACTTTCCTCCTAACACGAGGGAACTTCAGCCTAAGGTTCCAAATTAAATGACAGTTATTTTTAGGTTTTTCTACAAAAGAAAAAGAACATATAACAGGACAAACAAATTCCACAATATCCCCACAATTGTATTATTATTATTTTAATAACAGCTTAAAATTTTGTCTTGTATATTTTCTAGATGTTTTTTCAGTGTTAGGGGTGGTCATATTGTCCTCCATACTTTTGTGATTTAATTTTTGCATATTTTGAAATCATTATTTTATATTTTTACTCAATTTCTATCAATATAATATTCAAACATATCAATGAGGCACTGTTTAAAAAAAAAATAAAAATAAAATAGAAGACTTGCCTTATGGGGTAAATATATTTTCACAGCACTTCATACTTTTAACTAACATTACATTTTCAGATATTAACATGATGTAATTTGGTTGGTTCAGTGTACTAACTGTGTCCCAATAAGATTATCTTGTGTCCTTGTTTCAGAAAATGCTGCTGCGTTGGAGGAACTGCTACTGGAGTACGAGAGCAGACAGACGAGCAAAGGCTCATCCATCAAGTATGTGAAAAACACAGTTTCACACACCTCCAAATCTTTGCATGCTTTCACTAAGTCATGCCCCTTTAGGTCAGCTTTAACAAGAAGTCAACTTCTCTGCCGTAACTCTTCCCCTACAGCATTAAAAAAGAGGATTATTTATACCTCCCCCTGAGGGTACATAAACCAGACACTATTATTTAATCTTTTTAAGCAGACTGTTCATATGGGTTGTTTAGATTTATCACAACTTGCTGAGATGAGAAAGTATTTTTTTTATTAGCACTTTTCTTAAACCTTTGCCGATAAAAACAACATAAAATCCCAAAGCAGTTTCTACACTTCTGGCTGCATCGGCTGCATTCTTTTGAGCTGAGGCAGGCAGCAATTTGACGCTTGGCGCTGACTCACCCCCACAGGTCTGCAGCGAAGGTTTTTCGCTGTCATAAAAACTGTCCAATTATGAGACTTCAACAGTCAGGCGGTCACTGAGCTCACTGGTGGGCACATAACTTATCAAAGTCTCAACATTTACACGACCAAGCCTGGTTTTGGTGGTGATTAGTCAGAACTGAATGTAGTCAGTTTACAAACTGTCAGTTTACACCACTACATTCTCCTCCATTAGATCTATTGTTTAATTTCCTCAAAGCTTTGTTAAAAATTTATCCAGCAACAATTTCTAGAAAGGCCTTGTGAAATCTGAATGTAGTTTAGCTCAGACGAAACAAATCAGGATTATATATTTTTTTAATTCTGCTGAAGAATCCAAGCCTTTGCAGCCCATCTTACTCCAGATTATCCAATAATTTTTACGTAAATTCATTGATGCTGGCCTATAAATCAAATGTTGCAAACTGGATAAACTATATATGCATAGAATATAGTTTGTTTTATTTCAAAAAGCTGTCTCTCATTCAGTGAGTTACATTTAGATTCATTAGACTCCAGCAATGTGTTGCATATTGAAATATATATCCTGTTGCTACCTTCTGACATTTGAATGTAACATTTGATAAGCTTTAAATCTTTTTTCTAGCACATTTAAGACAATTTGATTTGCTCCAAAATGCTGTTCAGACAAAATACAAAAAATCCAACATGATAAACTGAAAGAGAATGGTTAACCCTGAAAAAGAAATAGAAACTTCCAGAAAAAGTCATCAAACCAAATTAAAACCAGTATAAAATGTTCTGTTTTTTTAAATCAATTATCCGATATGTTTTGAATTGTTTTCCAGTTCCTTTTAGTGTATAAAACCTGTGTGAATCAATACTAAAGCAACGGGTCTAAGGGGCTGTGTGCGGCCACAGACACACAGCCGCTACAGTTTCAGGAACGTTCGGACACACTCGCCCATTCAGACAATGCCTACACAGTTCTGGAAACATTTCAGATGGGCAGCTCTTTTTGGGTGTGGGAGGACGGGTGGGGGGTTTCCCAACAGCTTGTTATGATAACAGAAGCACACAGCTGCATTCATCTCTTTAGCTCTCTCCTGTCATCATCACTAAATGACAATGAAGAGACTTGAACTTCTTTTCAACATTCAAATTGCTCCATACTCACACATTTAGTGCAGAAACCTCCGTTTGCATAATACATCAAATTTCTACAGATAAAATATGCACAGACCTCCAGACTTTAGATGGCCTGCAGATGTTAACCAATTTAGGATTGACACCCCCATGCGTGATGCAAAGTGTGGAATGAAGTGCTGTAAATCTTTCTGCCACTGACTGTAGAGGAACGAAGACATATTCTCTTGAGTGAGGAATAACACCTTCCTGTTCTTCTTCCTACAATCTCTGGGTTTTGTTTTATTGTTTTGCAGGGACAGTATTATGGTGTGGATGAGTTTTTTCTATAGTTTGGCTCAGTCCTGTGGCTCCAGACATAGGAATCTTTGGTGCTCCAGCAGCACACCAAGACATTTCAGATAACTTCATGCTCCCAACTTTGAGGGAATTTGGAGGGGATCCCTTCATTTCTGATATGACTGAAAACGTTTGAGACATGGATGAGCGGATTTGTACTTGAGTGTTCAGAAGACCTGACACGGTGATGATGACCTATTTATTCTGACACAACAGTGTTCCTGCATTAGTCAGACCTTGTAGGTCTGCGGCCTCAAACCTATGGTTCTGGGGCCACAAGTGCCTCTTTAGACACTTAACGATGTATCTTAATGACTTTGGTTAAAGATGATGGCGGGCCAGCTAATGTTTTGAACACTAGATATGCTGAATTGTCTAATTGCACTGAATTAAAAAAAAAACAGAAATATTTGTATATATTTGTGGGATTTTGTATTTATTTAAACATGATATTAAAAAAATATCAGCAGCCTGTATTAAGTATCTGTTACAAATAAGTTACCATTGTTTTTTTGTTTTTTTTTTAAAGGTCACGTAAGGATGTAATATTTTCAGCTTTTTATTAACTAAGCTAAGTTATTTTTTTTCTAAATTCACAAAATAATTTAGTATTTTTTTTTTTATGGGGAAAAATGTTGGTTTTTAAACATCATTTTCTCAACCCAATGTAATAGATACATATATTTTCTTGCATGTTTTCTCCTTCGTTTTAAAACCTAAAAGTTTAAATGACATGGTGATTGTTTAAAAATACAAACCTCCTGTGGTTGATATTGATTAAATATAAGTTATCTTTTTCTTTTTGTAGAAAACATCATGAAATATTTTTGCTGCTGTTTATTAGCTAGGATGAAGTCAAAAATGGTTGTTTGGATTGTAAAGGTTTGCAGACCCCTGTTACAGGTAGAGCTCTTTAGGGATACGGTCAAAACAACAACAAAGCAAAATTAGCGGATCATCCAGACTCTAAACTTTGCAGAGAGGGAGAGTGAAAAGAGGTGACCCATTATAGAAAAGAAATTGATATAATCAGGATTACAAAAACCCAATGCATGCAGCTCTGAATCAAAGCTTAAGCACTCTGTGTTTCTGATTGTAGTCATCCTGTGGCTAAACCCACATTTGCATAAACTTTGTCTTTTTTCCTGCCCTTCTTTGCCCGCAGGTTCCCGATGCTGTCTCCTTTGTCCACCATCCGCTCCACCCCAAAGTCTTGCCCCCATCAGTCCCACCTGCACACCATATCAGGCCTCTCTGGTCTGGCCCCCAAACATGGCTACCGCTGCTCCCGTTGTGCCCATAGAAAGTGGCCCCCTGTTCTCATCCCTCCCCTGGATTCTCTTAAAGACCCACTGAAGCCCCCGCAGGGTTTGATTCTGTCCTCATTGGACCAAACTCTCGACCAGCAGAAGAACCCCCTCCTGGGGGGGGTTAGTGTGGACACTCACCACACACAGGCTACTGTGGTGGCAAAAGCTGTTCAGAGCAAAGTGGATAACATTGATGGAAGGGAGAAGAAGGAGGGAGAGGTCTTGTCTGTGGGCAGGTGAGAAAGGCTAAATAATTTCAATAAAATGTCATATAAAACATATGTGAAAAAAGAAAACGTTGTAATGCTAAAAGCTACTTGTTTCCACTTTAAGATCGAAGTCTTCTTTAATTTGCATGAGAAGGCTCGACTGTGATCTGATCTGTTTGAAAGCTTCTCCGATTGACATTTTGGTGTATTGCTTAATCTAACATGTTTTTTTTTTCTGTTTTTGATTCAAAGATTTCAAGTTGCTCAAATACCCGAGTACAGGCCTGTTACCGTAGAAACAAAGGAATCATCTCAGGAGCAGAGGAACTCCCTGTTTGGTGGGAAACATTTTTCCCCCTTTTCATCATCTGCCTTCAAGAGGTACGTTCTTTAAAGCCAAATAAGTTTTATCACTTCACCTCTAAGTCTCTCTCCGATCTCTGTTTTTTTTTTTTTTTTTTTTAATGTTTTTTTATATTTACACAGATAAGGTAACAATTCCGCAGCTCAGAAACGAAGGTTGAGGCGAAATTAAAGATTAGAAAGAGAATGCAAGAATTTTAAATTAGTTCTAATGCTCAATCCACAGAACATCATCGCAGTTATGGAGTATTAAGGTGGCAGCATCATTTTTGTTGTGTGTCGTTATATTTGCAAGATTTAAGTTTTTAATTTCTAGGGATTTATCCGCTGTTATTAATATACAGTCTCATGGCTAATGGAATAAATGTTCGACAAAAAGAAGACCACTTCTACGATTTACCCTTGCACTTAAGAAGTGTCTCTATCAACTTTCCTCATAAATAAATAGGTGTTATCTGGCCTAATCAGGAAAAAATGTCATTGTAAGAGCAATGCTTCAGCATCTGTCCTAGTTAGAAATACTGAGATCGGCTACGACATGACTTCAGTAATGAGAAAGTGATTTTAGCTAACATGAACAGTGGATTTGTCTCATCAGATGAAGAAATGCAGAGATGCTGCATGATCATGCTACCTCGTGGAAGAAGACAGCATCACCTGATGGCAGCTGAAATCCAAGAGTGAGATGTTTCTTCAGAAAACTTACCCTCCACCTGCTGGCAGAGGAAGGAATTACTTCTCATCACTTTTGACGATCATATGAGAGCTTGACCTTAATGCAGCTTCAAGTTCCAGATCAAATTGACAACAGTGCTGGGAAACTAACGAGATAAATGCAGGAGCAGGAGCATTATTTCACATTAAATATCAATGACAGTGAATTTTTTTATTATATTATACATATATATATATATATATATATATATATATATATATATATATATATATATATAGTTACTGATTAAAGTATGGTTGCTGTTTTTGGTCCCATTGAATTTGGAGCCAACCTGGCACTGTCGAAGAATATTATTTGCATCAATATTCTTTGCAACTAAGTGCCACAACCATTGAAGATAATGAATGTGTTTTTTAGCAACCAATCAATTTAGAAAAAGAACAATGCTTGTTCCTCTCTTTGACTTATATAAACATTGCAAATGAGGTAAAGTTTTAGACCTTTAATCTGTTGAATGTTTTAACAGAAACTCTCTCTATATGCACTGAACATTATTAAGGTTTAAATCCAAGCTCTGATTTGTACAACTTTTAGAGTCAATATCTAATCAAAACCTAAAGTGTCTGAAATCTGTCACAGTCTGAGGGGTAAGCGTTTCGTATGGAGTTGTGCCATAGAGGGATATATTCTGATGCCAGATGAACTAAATCACATCAGTCTTCCAGATGAAAAGAAATCTCATTTATATTGCAGTCAAGCACACTGCTGCTATCATAGCCCTAAAAACAAGCACTTTTAGCATCCAGAATAACATTACTGCCACAAAAACCTTATACTGGATCACATAGCAGCAGCTCTTATCACCAATCATTGATCAAAGCCCACATTTAATAGAAAATGTTTGTTTTCTTTTTAAATCCTTGTATTTTCAGAGATCCAGAGATGTAAATTTAACAACTCCCCAAATTCAGCAATAAGCTTTTAATATATATTAGCTTTTAGACTAGAGTCCAGTGCTGACCCAGCTTTAGGTATTAAGGGGTTATTGTAAATATAGTAAATACTCAAGGCAGGCAAGAAATGTCATTTTGGTGGGAAAAAAAAGGAAAGACAGCAAACTTAAAAAAGAAACTTTATTAAAAAAACATGTATATAGGTGTAAATATGTAAATAAGGCTTGTAGAAAAAAAGACTATTATTATAACTTTATACTCTAACACATGGCATGCATCAGGGGTGAACAGCTATACTGCACCGCTGACAGGACTATGTCATTTATATAAGCTGAACTGCTGTCTGGGATTATTTTCTACTCTTTACCATAGAATAAAACACGTTGATATTTCTACTCTGAACAGAAACTACACAAACTAATAAACTAACATCCAGCAGATAGTCTGAACCCTCCTGGAGCCTTTAGTTTACATCCGCATAGTGTGCACTATTACAAGATTTCTTTGCTGCATTATGTTCATATCATGCTGTCAATGGAAATAAGAGGACATCCGTTATCCCAAGCTGATGATTACATGTTTTTATTTCATACGATTTTATTGCTATGATGTTGTCAACAATAAATGTTTTCAAGCTTGGCAGGAAGGAAGTAAAACATGAGAGATTTTAGTATTTATTCATATCATTCCTCCTTTTATTATATCACATCTGTTTCTGTATGCTGTTTTTACTGTGGAAATAAAGGAGAGTTGTATTTTATTCATGTTGTTTTATTTATGCATGTGAGACTGAGGAAAAAATATGGAAGAAAAAAACTAAACTATGACCTTCTACTGGTTAGCTTCACACAATGCAAGAGTTAGAGCCGCTTTGATCGACTTAGTCTCGTCACACTTTGGTAGATAGATTCCAAATTATTTACATTAGATACCCAAACAGACTGAGCCGTTTTGCAGAGGAACATAAAAAAAAATGTAAATTTCTAGATGTGAAAGGCTGCTAGAGATGTACTATAAACACCTAATACTGCAATTGCAAAAAGAAACTCATAGCCACTATGGAATCTAGGGGGCGAATACAAACTTTTCAGACTTTTATAACAATAATTAAATTCTTCAAATCCTTCAAAAAACGCGTTCTTCATGAAGAGGTACCAGCTTTCTTTGCTCCTTAACTTAGAGATTAATCAAATGAAGTCTCAGACAGAGAGTCAGAGTTTTGTTGTGAAGCAGCGGTTCATTGTGGATTTTGAGCACAGTTTGCTCTTCTTGGTGAGATTGCTTCGAGCATCTCGCCCTGCCAGGAAATAAAGGATGGGATCCACGCAGCTGTTGGCGCTGGCTAAAGGTCTCGTCACTTTATAGGCAAAACTGGCAGCTTCCACCAAACTACAGCTGATCTGTTGAACATAATTGAATGCATTAGATGTTTTAAAGACATTGGAACCGGCTCAAATCAGAAACAGGTTGGGGCCTTACCTGTGATGGATTGACTTGTCGCAGGTATCTAAAAGAGTAGTAGAGACTCCTGGTGAGGTGGAAAGGAAGGAAGCACAGCATGAATGCTGCCAGAACAATGATGATCATCTTCACCGACTTCTGCTTAGATCGCTGGGCTTTTAGACCGCCTCCTTCCCCTTCAGCACCCTGGTCAGATCCCCAGCTAGGCTCCAGAAGCTTCCGAACCATAAGGCCATAGCAAACCATCACTACCATGAAGGGTAAGGCAAACATGATCACCGACACAAATGAGCTGTACACTAGGAAGTCATCAAAAAGCTCTGGGCTGGTGGTGTCATAGCAGATTCGCTCTGTCTTTACGTCTCTGCAAAAAATACAGATAAGCATATACAAAGCTGCAGAAGCAGGGAGGTTCAGAACTTCTGATGTTGCTCATTAGAAGGGTGAGTCGGCTGACAGCTCTTTAAGTTTTGACCCATTAAGGCACTATAAGATGAGCTGCCGGGCAAAACTTGTAAAAAACAAACAAAACAAAGACTAGGGTTTAGTCACCTGGTTCTGGAAAAGTAGAGAACTGGAGCCTGGCAGAATAAAACGCAGGCCCACACTGCTACTGACACCAGCCTGGCCCGACGAGCACTGACCCAGCTGAGCGAGCGGACGGGATGGCAGATACCAACAAACCGGTGCAGACTGATGCAGCACAGAAACAGGATAGAACCTGCCAATCACACAAGAAACTTCCATTTTTAATTGGTATGGGAAACACTGATTGTTTCTTTACACATATTTTATTAAAAGTTTGTGTGACTGATCAACTGAACAAGGTTTATGATGCACAATGTTCATAGTTTTATAAAAAATTGACTCCAAGTTCAGTGCTTGCATAAAGAGTCAGTCAGTACTTTGGTCTACAGTTGCAGCTGCAGGTTTTTGACTAACTTTTTGAACAATAGGGCTTGGCTATGCTCCTTATCCTACTGGGAGATGAATCTCCACCTCAAAATAAAGTGTTTTCCTCTAACAGGTTTTCTTCCTGATTTGCTTTTTCGGCCGTCTCTATAGAAAAGGAACCACCACTCCTCACCACCACTACGACATTAAATTTGCAAATAGGCCAAAAAGCATTCATTTATGATGACCAGAATATCTTCTGCATGTTTTTTTGTGTGTTCCCCTGAGAAATGTTTTAAGTTTTAAATGACATGAAATAGTCATCCAGTTGACAGCCTCTAGAACCTGAGCTGTGGATCTCTTCAGCTCTTCCACAGGGCAACATTACTGCTTCTCCAAATAATGCGTTTTGCATGTCCTGTTAGGTTAGGTGGACAGCAACATCTTGATAACTTTGAAGTAATACTCTTTTTTTTTTCTTATATGAGTGAACACCGCTCAGTGAGTACTATGGATGTTGTGATAGTATTTCATAGCCTAACTCTGCTTTAACCCTTTATAGGGAACTCAGTAAAATAATTATTTTAAGAAATCAAAATTTCAAGCTAACTGTTATAGGACAGACCAGGGCCTGATGACTTTTGTGACATTAAAACAATATCTGCATGGGGGAAAAAAATCAATGTCAATGTAATTACCAGAAACACAATAATTTGTCCTAAAATGATAAAACACAAAAATAAAATTACTTCTATAAGAACATGTTGATTAATTTTTTGCAGTTTTTTTTTTATATATATGCACTCGCAATGCAAAGAGGGCTAAATTTAAATGTAAGCAAAACCTTTCAGATTTGTATGCTATCAAAACCATACATCACTTACGTTCCTATTTAAATTATCCGGACCTTGTGTCAATCTATCTGTTACAGAATCGTACAAAGAAAAGATAATATTCACATTACAAGTTTTCTTTTTCTTGTTGTACGAAGCTATGTGGAAAAGTGAAAGGGGCAACAATAATTCAGCCAGGTGGTAAATTCTTGAGGGGGGTACATTTTCTGCATATCTTGTCCTGGCGGTATTTGTGATTTTCTTTTTTTTTTTTTTTCCATCTCATAAAGATGTGAAATAGATGACTGAGACATAAATGTATGTTAAAAAAAAAAGAGGAAAAGACCTGAAAAACATTAAAAGATGGCAAGAAATAAATCACTGAAGATGGATTATAAAAGTCAAAAAAGTCTGACCTTTGGAAGGCAAACATTAGGAAAACTGTAATAAACTGAAGTTTTTCTCCTCTATATCTTCACAATTTATTGGACAAGGTTTATTTGGTAAATACTGTTCCATATAATCAGTAACGAACTATCAAGACACTTAATGTGAAGTCAGATTTCACCCTCTCTCATGTTGGACTACAAACAATGAGTTTTCATTATCCTGGGTTCTTTTTAGACTAATATGCCATTTTATGCAAATTTCCTTCTCACCACCACCTCCTCTTTGTGTCACATTTCAGATATATCATATGTGTGCGCATTTCTTGGCCATTACCATACAAGTTGGCATAAAACAGGAAGCGTATCAGCTTGCAGAAGGGTTCACTGAACGGCCAGTCGTTCTGGTCGGCGTAGTAGAAGATGAGGAAGGGCAAAGTAAAGATGTAAAGAGTGTCACACATGGTCAGGTTGAACATGTAGATGGTGGATGGCTTCCAACGCTTCGTACGGAACACGATCACGTACAGAGCTGTGGCATTCAAAGCCAGGCCAATGACGAAGACCAGAGCGTAGCTGACAGGAAGGAGGATGAATTTGAATTCTTCATTGAATCTACAGCTGGAGTTGGTGTGGTTCTTCATGTTGGTGGTGGCAGGACCTAAAGGGGAAGATTTAGAAAAAGGGATTTACCTTTAATGTTCACAGAATGATTCAAAGAGAGGCCTTCATCCTACAGAATGGGTTTTATAGGTAAATTGGAGGATGTTCTTTTTCGGGTGGATCATCAAAACAAGTCGTCCTCCCAAGTGTCAATCATTCTGCTGATATGTTTACGTGCTCGTCCCCATTTTCACTTACCGGTGGTTAGTCTGACATAGTGGAAAAATTGCAAATCTTCTTGTATGAACCATGCAAACAGCAACTTTTAAACAGAGCGTACACAAGGAGATATGGGCTTGTTCACGCTCTTGCACGAGTTTAATAGGCATTCCCTCTCAGGAGAGGGTACAGGGTTGTGCATGTGCATTTTTTTTTAAGTGGAGAGGGCGGCCTTTTCAAAAATTCATGAAAATTCATTATACCTTTAAGAAGCTCTCTGCATGATTAAGTAGCACAGTTCATATCAAATGATCAGTCATTTCATTGCCTTTGATTTAATCTTTTCTCTGATTTAGAGCTAGAATCAATGTGAATATAAATTAATGTGTTATATTGATCAAAGCAAAACAATTTATAATTAATGTTAATGATGGCTTTTTGTTTATAGATTGTAAGGTGTGTTTCTTTTAGCTCCAATACAAGAACCCTCTTTCTGCCTATTTACTGATTCATAGTTCATTGTGTTGCATCACAATCTGTTGCGACACGTTGCATTGATTTCTGCAGCCCTGTTCCCGTGCAGCCAAACGAACCTCACCCTCACTTGGTGCCTAAGTTTTCTAAAAGCTCACATCTGTGTGCAGAGCAGAGGAATAACTTTCTAACTCAAACCAGACTCAGCCTTCAGGCTGTTTGCAGATCTTCTCTCGCTTGCAAACTGCACCTTTGCCTCACTCAGCCTCAGTCTGTATTTCCTTTTACTGAAAAGCTCAGATCAGTCATACATTAACACAAATTTCAACTTACTTATGCAAATTTAATAAGAAAGCCCTCTCAAACTTTTCAGGTCAGGAAAAACTTGGATTTTTGCTTATTGATTTTCTTCATCAACGCAGTGGCTCCTGTTTCCTCTGAGCCATTACCTGTTTCAGCTTCCTCTTTTTAACTATAACATTTGAGAATCATAAAGATTCTGTAAAATCTGCCATGTTCTGGTAACCTTCGCTGTGCAAAACAGGACAATCTCAGCCCAATCATCAATCTAACAACATCCTGTACTTTTAAATTGAAGTGGCTCTTCACAAAGTTCCATTTAGCTGCTAAAATATAGGATACTCACATTAAAAAGGTGCTTAAAGGCTGCGTCTCCTGAGCTGTGTATCCTTGGCGTGCTGCTTTCGGCTGAGTGCGCACCTCAGAACTTTGGGTTGGTAAAGAATATTGAGGAGTGTGCTATTCTGACAAGCTGCAGCCTGCAAGCTTTACCCTGAGGGCTCAGATACTATCTGTGTGCATATATATATAGATATATATATCTATATATATA